AAAAATTAATTAAAACGATTAGAAATCTAATATTCATAATTATCACTAGACTACAAATTCCTATCAACCCCTTGTCTCACAATATATTTCATTTCACACGTGTATACATACGGTAATTATTTCTGTCGCAACTTTGTAGACGTAACCAATATAAACAAAACCACTACGGGCTCAAAAATTCCTTTACGAGAACAAGAAAATTATTTTGATTGCGATACCACGGGTTTATAAAATAAATTGCAAATCATGTTTTGACTCATCATTTTTACTTAAGGTATTAATACTACATTGTACGAAAGGTAATGAACTTTATCCTGATTTCCTTATCACTTCAACCCCATCAAAACTTCCCAAAAGTAAACATATTCTGTTTCCGATATGAACCTTTCTCATCCAAAAATGTCATTCCAGAAACTTGAAATTTCTAAATTTATATTCCGACGAAGGTGTTACAAAGTTTTCCACTTTCAGTCGCAGAAGATGGCATCGATTACACGCCTCGTCTCCCTTGCACGCGAATTTTATTTACAGGGAAGAGGCTAAAGATTGTTTTGCATAATTGAGGGGTTCCTTGAGGAACGGCGATAAATTCGTGTCCCAATGGCGAGGCGTGGAATCGCCTGTGAACCGCCCGGCGGACCGTGAAATCAATTAAACGATCTGTTACGGATAAACTTTCTCTTCCTGCAACTTAATGAATATGTCGGGGGGACGGCCGGTTGAATATTCACGAATCATGGGCGTCGTTGAAATAGGATCCATTAAGGTGAATTTGTTCATTAATCGGCGCCGGGGTTGAATTAATTTCGCGTCGATTGCGATAAAAACGGGACCCCTTCGAACTTCGGCCACTTTCTAAGGTGTCTCACGGCGCTGTAAAATTTTTTATTGCCAGCCCTGGGAAAGGGACAAAGTTTAGTCTAACGGTAGAATATAGGGTAGTTTGAAACACCTATCAAGGGGTTAGACCGCACTGGCCACTTAGAAAATGAAAGGGTACCCTTTCTCATTACTCAGAGAATTTAAAAATTCTTGTAGAAGGTAGAACTAACTTTGTATACGAATAAATTGTATCAATTTTTAAGATGGAAACTTGATAATAATTATAATTACTTTTACTACAAAACAAGAATGCAAAACTTTAACCATAACTTCAATTTCAATCGATACTAAACAATTTTCAAATAATTCAAACAAATATCCAAAGAAACTATCAAATAATCTCCTTCAGAAAAAGCATCTTCGCTCAAAATCAAAAACAAATTCTCCACCAACCAACAAAACCAATCAATAAACCTCAACCATTGCCAACCCACAAAAAACATCAGAATACATAAAACCCAGCTAACAAACCTTAAAAAACTAAATCTCCCCCTAAAATCAA